CAGTTGCGGCTTGATTAATCAAATAAGTACCTTGAGGAGCAGTGTGGTCTGTGAACACCTGTCTTAATTCATTGGTAACAAAAATTGGCTGCTTGATTGTTTTTTAAAGTATATTTTTCAGAAACCAAGGGTCAAATGTCTTCCAGCCTAAGAGGAGAATTGCTAGGGCTGATAATTCCACTAGTTGCCTGCATAGAAACCAACATAGGTCGTGCTTATGTTTTATTTTACTTATCTATGTTGCTTAATTTATGAAGGGCTTGTCATGGAGCAAGAACTACTGCGCATGGATATCAGTTATTTTCATGTCAGTGGCACATCATATATTTTAATAGTTACTTCATGAATCCCATCAGTGACTTCCTTCAAAGTATGTACAAAACTTGGGTAACTCAGTGGTATGGAAAAGTAAGATGGGATGAGTTTAGAACTTTTGTCATCTTTCCCTTGTAGTACAAACAGAACTGTGCTCATTTTCTTATTCTGATTTAGTCATTTTATGAATATTGTGTTGATATTTTTCCAGGTAATTCTTAGTATCTCTAGGTCAGCACTATGAATACTTGAACATATGTGATTACATAATAACGTGATAGGAAATTGGCTGAGCTATTAATGGCTTTCAGATATAACTTATGCTGGAAGGTTTTTAGAGGTTGTAAATCCCAACACCTACTTGTTTTCTTAGGATTTGCCTCTTTGTCACTAGGCTTGGTTAATATAGGTTTTAGAGTATTTTGCTATTTCTTTTTATAAACTTTAGTAGTGCTCCTTATATCATCATGCCTTTTATCATATGTTGCAACAACCTTCTGTCTGTATTTTTGCTTTGTCTAATAGCCTTTATTTCATGGTGTTTTCCTTCTATTTATTATGTCTGGATTAGTAAATGTCTTAGTTGTAATGGGCTGCTTTTGAAAATTTATTTTTAAGTCAGATATTTAGAGTGCAAAATACATTTTTCCATAGTAATAATGATAAAAAGATGATTAGACTCAACCCTTTCAGAGTAGATTCACAATCCTATAGCTGATCCCAGCGCTCAAGCTAAAGTTCTCTTTAGGAGTTTTTGCTAAGCATACTTTTCCCTCATCCCTACGGCAGCATCAGAGTTCTCTTTAAATGTGAAAAGTCCTGTCAGTCTCTACCTTTTCTGTTTTCAGTGGTGGACAGTACCTGTCTGCTAAAAAGGCACAGGTTATCAGGCTGTGAATTCAGATGTTACAAGTACTTTATCCATTGAGGAAGTTCTAAATTTAGTTTGGGAACATAATAAGAGCTCTGGTGCTCTTGATCTGATGTAGTTAACCTGCAATGAGAAGTACAGCTATTGCATAGGAGTAAAGAATTTGAAAAGCCATTGAACTGAGTTGATTACAGAGCAGTCTTTCAGGTGAATATTCTGCCAATCAACTGTATCCATTGGTGCTGGGTATTTGCAGAATAATCAGTCAGGAGGTGCTTGGATTGGCTAGAGAATTAGATGTCTCACTATGGATGAGTGAGTACCCACTGCATAATCACTGAATTTAAAAACAAACAAATAATAAGGAGCAAAAGCAAAAAACAGTAATCGCAGTTACTCCAGAGGCAGAGATTGAGCAGATCATGGTTTGAGGCCAACTCAGAGAAGAAGTTAGTGAAACACCATCTCAACAAATAAACCACACGTGGTGGCACATGTCTGTGGTCCCAACTATGGGGGAGGCCATACGTAGGAGGATCACGGTCCATGGCTAGCTCCCAGCAAAAACACAAGAGACCTCTCTGAAAAATAACAAAATGCAGAAAAGGGCTTGAAGCATGGCTCAAGCCATAGAATAGCTGTCTAGCAAGCTTGAGGCCCAGAGTTCAAACCCTGTACTATCAAACACAACAACAAAAAACCATCAGTAGGTAGGAGCGATTGTTTTAGATAGACCAGCATTCTAAAAGCACTGCTTCACTGGGCTGATGCTTTTGTCTCTAGGAAGAATTTCCAACTTCTTATCTTGGAAAATTAACATGTACTGTAGGTTTATGATGACTGGGACTATGTTAGCACTGAAAATCTGCTGTCTGACATGGCAAAACTGATGTGTGTACTCTTGGGCTGTTATGTATATATAATGTGGAATTAGGTGGCCAGGAAGTGGCGGTGAGGCAACTTCAATGAAGAATGTAAGGGAAAATTAATCCAGCCATTCTGTTTTTCTGTCTTTAATGCCACTGAGAACTCCTCAGCAGTGCTGATAAGTTGTGATTCTTAAAGCTGGAAAAACAAGAGACCCTGATCTTTGTAAAACTGAAGATAAAACATAGACTCCTACAACACTGCCAGGCATTGTCATGGAATACTTGAGAATCCAGGCTGCTGAGCTCGGGGCTGCCATGATGTCTGCTTCATGGAAATGAATTAATGGAGCAAACTGGGGTCAGCAAACCTGCATTTCTCTCCCAGGGAACCAGGGTCTGCTGATAAGGGTAGTAGATCAATAGTTACCAAGAAGTAGCTGAGATTCATGTATGTTTTCATGTTCCCACCTGATTCTGAATACAGTTCCTTGGATTCCCTAAGCTGCCTTAATTCTTCACCATCAGCCATCCAACAAATCTGCTACCTCCAAGTACTGTTGACAAAGAAAATAGGCTCATAAGCCCCAGCATAATTTACCTTAAATCCTACTTTCAATCAAGATCCTCTATTGCTTATTGGATGGAACCCAGCAACACTGGCTGCCATGGTGACCAATATTCATTTCTACCTTAGAGGTACTACTTTGCCCCAGTCATGTCATCTCCTCAACTCAAAAATGAAAGGGTAGATTTAGGTGATCTCTTTTGGTACCTCTAGCAGCAAAATCTGAGACTAAAGTAGCTCGAGACTAGACCTGCCATCTTGAAGCTGAGCAGAGAATGATGGGATGGGATAGGGTGGGGTGGGGTGGGATGAGATGGGATAGGGTGGGGTGGGGTGGGGTGGGATGGGATGGGATAGGGTGGGGTGGGATGGGATGGGATGGTAGTCCAGAAAAGGAACCCAGAGTCCTCTGGGCCAACCTTCTCATTTCACGGATAAGGATGCTGAGACCCATGCAGGCAGTTGAGCTACTCAAAGCCACATACCTAGAAAGTCTCACAGCTTTTTCTGAAATTTGCTTTTCAGTTACTGATGAGCATTATGCATTACCACTCCAAAAGTGTGCATTTTACTAGATCCCATACTACAAAATGATGCCTTTGTGAATTGTTTTCATGTTTAACAACTATTTCTTATAATGCTTTTAGCTTTTAGGGAAACACTGAAACAGGGTCTTCAAAGGGTAAATGCCTTCGAATTGTGTTTTCACTTTTTTTTTTAAGAAATGACTATGGATTGTACTTCACAGCTTGACCAACTATGTCATGAGCACAAAGAATCACAAATTCAGTGGTCATTCTGTGAGGTGTTTCAGGGTTTCTTCTTTGTTGGAGGTAGGGACTGCTTAACATTCTGAGGGGCATTTGCATGTTAGCCAGCTCCCAGTTCATAGCACAAAATACTTGTGACTTATTCTGACTCTCTGTCTCCTTTCTACTTCTTGCTCTTGAATCGTTCAGAGTCACAGTCCATCATGCAAACAAAGTATTTTGAAGCTCTGTGTTTAGTTTGCTGTGTGATCTTGGCTCATTTATTTGTCTAGTAAGCTTCTGACATATATTAATGGCTTATAGACTGCCAGATGTTGTTGTAGACACTGGGGATACATACGTGAATGAAGCATTCAGGTGTGGAGGCCTTAGAGAGCTTACATTATGCTGCAACAGAAGTAGAACAATAAGCAGAGATGGCAGTGATCATAGACCGCAAATATTGAGTGCTTTCTAAGAGCCAGTCAGTTGTTAACAATTTGCATGCGTTCACTTACTTTTATGGCTCACAATAACCAAATGAACCAGACATTTTTTAATCCTTCACTTTATAAATAATGGAAATCTGTCTAGTAATTTTCCCAGACTCTTGTAATTAGTAATTTATGGAACTAGGATTTGAACCCAGATAGTTGACTCAAGGTCTATGATCATAACCACCTCATTCTACTGCCTTTCTGAGAGAAGTATAATTAAGGAGTCCTTTCTAATATATTACCTGCTACTTTGCAAATGTACCTAAAGTTATAGGAAATACTTTATTCACGCGACCTGTCATTTCTACAGCTATTTTCCCAGCTCTTTTTAAATTCATGCTTCTTTCACAGGAATATCCTTTTTTCACTTACTATATTGACCTTTAGTAAACTGAAGTTCTGTGAAGGCAAAAATTTTTGACTCCTTGGTCCATTGCTACAGCCCAATTATCCAGTGTCTAGCATTATTCTCAGAATTTATTGTGTATTGCTCTTTATTGATTGATTAGGTGAATTTTCCTATGTTTGCTTCATCTTATGAAATAGAATACAATTTGGGATTCCCTCCCTAATTTCATGCCTTCCCCCAAGTCAAATTCCCCTTCTTTCCTAAATCCTCAGGATAGTGTGTATAGTGAATTTGGTATTTATCATTTTCATGCATGTTTTTATATATTAGTACATATTTATGTATATCCATTAACCAGTAGAGCTGGTTCCAGGCTTTTAGACATTATTTATATAAACGGTAATGTTAACTTTCTGATTTAATTTGAACTATATGCAGGACTAAGGAACAAATTAGAAAAGTCTTGTACCATCAGTAAACAGAATCCCTCCTTCAAGACCTGTCTAAGGAAGACTTTCCATGCACTGTGAATAAATGCTGAAACTAGATGCAATTCATATACCAGATGACAATTAAGTATTAACCTCCAAGAATGTACCTGCCGTGGTTTTCTGAATTAAAATTTAAGAAATAAATGCATTTAATGTGTCTGTGCCAGAAAATTGACTGTGTCTTTGCAGTTTTTTGTCCACATAAGGGGGTCCTAATGGTTCAATCAAAAAAAAATTTATTAACCAAGTTTTGATGGCCTGCCATTCTCAGTAAAACTTTTTTCCTTCCTTTAGTTGAGACGGGAGAAGATTGACCTTGAGAATACATTGGAACAAGAACAAGAAGCATTAGTTAATCGTCTCTGGAAAAGGATGGATAAGCTTGAAGCTGAAAAGCGGTTTGTTTAGTCTTGCTCTTCAGTGTGTGTGTGGTGGGGTGTGTGTCTAGAGTACTGTTCTGGTTGTGACCAACGGATAACAATGGAACACTTGGGTGTTCCATTCTAACTTGCCAGAGGAAAAAATGTTGAGCCTCTGAACTCTTCCCCTATTGGTCACCAATTGGAGCCTTTGCTCTCTTATTTTTCCAGTAGAATTTCTTTTCATTTGGTGTTTATAAGGCAATGACAGAATTAATCACAGTGCTACTGTTCACCTTCAGATTATTATTTGCACCTTATTGAACTGCTTTCTTTAGTACATAGGATATACTATGTGCTATTGATTATTGTACATCTCTATGGTTTACTTGATTAGGAAGAGTGAGATTTTAATAGGAAAATTACTGTCCATTTGTTTTTAAACCTATTGTAAAGAAATCTCTGTAAATGTTTAAGGTAAAGATTTCTTTGTGTTAAATGTGCATATCTGGATGTGAAATGTCACTCACCAGCACCATGTCTTGCCTCTTTGTTCAAGATACCATCTGGCCCTTATTTTTAACCACTCCATACTTTGGAGATGGAAGGAACAGGGCTTGTAAGAATGGTAGGAAGGTTCTGTCTGGGATGTGTGTGTAAATATAAAGAGTGAGTTTCTTTTGAAAATATTTATTCATTCCCATCACCAGACTCTGGTTTGCTATGCAGAATCCTTCTGCCACAAATACTTGGTTTGGATGCATATTCATAAGTTCTTTTGATTTCTTCTGTAGATTTACAAAATACATTCCACACAACTTTAAGAAAAACAAAAATTAGAGGTACAACTACAAGAAATATTCAAGTTATGATTAAATCAGCTACATTTTACATTATCATAGCAGTACTAGTAAATTGAATTATGAAAGGTTATTTTATACAATAAATGTTGAGATCATTACAATATTTAACATACTAGTTTTCTCAACAAGGGTATACCTAGAAGTAATTTGCAGTTTGCATGTGAGCAAACTCAAGGCTAAAAAGTTAAAAATAAAACAAAAACCAGAAACACCAGCAGCTTATCAAAGGGGGCTAGAGACCTGTTGCCAGTAAGTTTTCCTTTGCAGAATGCAGTTGGAGTGGAGATTTTACATATATTAGTACCAAGTTGAGTTGAGCAATATGAAATGGTCATTTTATAGGTAAGAAGTTGTTGAATATCAGCATTTATGTTCTTCAACCTAATAATAATTGGTAGAAAAGGTGGTACCCCCAATTATTAGCCAAATCATTGTGGTTTGGATTAGTTTTTAACTTTTTACCTTTTCTGTGGCCAGAAGCAAAGGGCCCCTCTGTCCAATTTGCCAAGTTTTTGGTATTAGTTTTGCTGGAAGGAATTTTAGAAGTTGTTTCTTCATGTGACTTTATCCTCCAGAGAGATTCATGGTGGTTCATAAGTTTCACACAACACATTAAGAGAGCAGAATTCTTTACAATTCAGATACCCTAATCAGCAGATAATTCTGAGTTCCTGCTATGTTCAGGCATAATGATCAGAATCAAATGCTACTAAATAGAGGCTTTTCAGTAAAGCTTAGCTACCAGTGGTCATTCAAGAGAAGAAAAAAAGAGGGACTGAGGGATTTGATCCTTCAACTCTGGCTTTTGACCCGAGATAGATACTGGGTAGGGATGACCATAAATAGATGGAAAATGGACAGAGGAGTTTAAGCAACCCTGTGGATTCTGGCAATTAACAGCAGCTTATGTTTAAAACAAACTTTCCAGCTAGCATGTTGTTCAATCTTCTACAGGCAAACTGTTTTTCATTGTCGGAATTTTTCTTTTCAATGAAGAATCCTGCAGGAGAAATTAGACCAGCCCGTCTCTGCTCCACCATCGCCTAGAGATATCTCCATGGAGATTGATTCTCCAGAAAACATGATGCGCCACATAAGGTTTTTGAAGAACGAAGTGGAACGGCTGAAGAAGCAACTGAGAGCTGCTCAGCTACAGCGTATGTGGCTCCCACTTCGTTATTTTTTCTGTCTGTTGAGTTAATGCATTTACCAAATACAGAATATTACTTGTATATGCTGGTGAATCTGCTTTAGTCAAATTCATATTGCATTTTATTACTGATAGACAGGTCATCCTGGAACATATTTTTCAGTAAAAAGTATTAAAATAGCAGAGGGCAAACAGTTTAGAATACTTCCAGAAGATAATTCAAATAATTTCAGTAGGGTCCATAATCACAGGTAATATTTTTAGTCTTCTTTCTCATTTTCATCTGTAGAATTGTGCCAGCCAAACCAGTACAGGAGGCATAAATGCACTTTTGGGATATTAAGGGAGAAAAGAGTATTTATCTTTCTTACTCCTAAATTTATTCTTAGCTGACATTTGTTCATGGTGTTTGAAGAATAAATACTTTGGAATTTATACTTAATATTTTGGAAAATGCCAAGATGGTGAACTGGAAATGAAAGGAATTAGATTTCTGAATACTTGGTTAGGTCCCCATGTGTTTTCTTGGGTCTTTCCTATTCCAGCTGTTTTGGTTGCTGAGATTCCTCTTCATACTAGGTAATACAGTGAAAGGAATGCAGTGAAAAAATGTCTAGCGCTCATCCCTGATCCTCAGCCAACTGGTTCTCACAATCACACATTTTTCTGTATTCTTCCAGATATGTGTGTACGTATAAAATTCTTTTATACAAATAGTAGAACACTAAACATACTCTTCAGTACCTCTCTATTTTCATTTTTTATGTCTTGTAGGTTTTTTCCTTGCTAACACATGTAGAGCTACCTTAGTTCCTGCATAGTGTTTGATGGCATAGATCAACCATAATTTAAATACTCATATACCAAAGGATCCATTTGGTCTGTTATGCCACACCTGCAGTGAACATTTCTGTACACACATCCCAGGTGGATTTGCTTGGTCACACAGAATGTGCATTGATGATTTCAGTCGTTGTTGTTTTTATATTTCTTCTCTGAAGTTCATTGCAAGTTCTACTCCAGTGATGCATCTGGGGTGTTGTATCAGGCTCATCCCTGATCCTTTAAAAAGTATGGTGTGTTAGCTTCCTATTTCTGCTATAACACTTCACCACAAACACAGTGGCTCAAAACAACAAAGATTTGCAACACTGTAGCTCTGGAAGCCAGAGTTCTTAATGTGAGTCTCACTAGGATGAATCAAAGTGTCAGTAGGGCTGTGTGCCCTTCTAGAGGCTCCAGTGGAGAATCCTAGAATCCTTTTTCTTACTTTGTGCAGCTTCTAGAGGCTACCTGCATTCCTTAGCTTGTGGTTCTTCCTTATAGTGACACATTCCCACTTCTGCTTCCTTGTCTCATGTCCTTTCACTCTGATTCCTGTTGGGCCCACCCTGATAATCCAAGATAATGTCCTTATCCCAGATTCATCCTTAGTTTAATCACTACTGCAAAATCCCCTTTCATTGTGTAAAGTAATATCATTTACAGGTGTTGAGAATTACCATGTGGGCAGGGTCATTGTTCTAACACCATACAGGTTTCTGGGTTCCTCCAGGAATAGAGTGTAATACTCTGAATATTTTCTTTCTTTCTTTCTTTTTTTTTTTTTTTTGGTACTGGGGCTTGAACTCAAGGCCTACACCTTGAGCCACTTCACAGCTGTTTTTGTGTTATGTATTTTTGAGATAGGGTCTCTCGAACTATTTGCCCCAGCTGGCTTCAAACCATGATCCTCTTGATCTCTGTCTCCTGAGTAGCTAGGATTACAGGCGTGAGCCACTGGTATGGCTTTCTTTTAAATCCAAGTAATTCTAATGTGTAACTTGGGTTAAAAGAAGTGAGATAAAGAGTCCTCACATAATGTTTTAGACTCTGTTTTTTTCTGTCTTGGGTAGACAAATATTTTTTAATACCTCTTTCCAGTGGTGTTGGTTTGCCTTTCCTTCCTCATTTGTTCTTGTCTTATTGGGCGCAAGGAAAATTTTAGAAGAAATTTGGGAAGAATTTTTCATTCTTACCCCTTGTTCCCTCCTACATGCATGATTAGGTCTTTGAAAAGACTGAGATACCACCAGAGGGAACTCTAAGTGCTATTTCGATTTTGTGAGGACAGAAATGGCTGAACCAAAGCAGCAGTTGGGCTTAGAGGATAAGCCAACGACTTCTCCTTATTCATCTGCCTCATCTTAGATCAGATGACTCGTGACTCCTTTGGCTGCAGCTGTGGCAGTAGTCCCTTAGCCTCCAAGCTCAATGCATGTGAACCTCTCAAGAATTCTTGATTGGGGTGGAGCATTAGAATCTGCTGGGGAGCTTTTAATGAGACCAGGCCTGCTCCTCAGGGATTCCCATTTAATTGGCTTGGGTGGAGTGTGGGCATTTATTTCCTACCCATAAACTTGAAAGGGAAAGCAAAATGTACAGACCACTTTTGGGTCCCTTGAGAGGCACCTCTTTGAAGTTTGGATGTCACCCTCAGCTGACACTATCTTTGACTAAATTTTAGGAGGTGGCTGAATGTGGGGGGAATATGAACTGTGGCCCCTAAAGACCAGGAAGCTCCATGTGTTTGAGAAGGAGGATAACTCACTAATAATTGCAGTCAGGTATGGCCAATGACAGCAGAGGGCACCTGAGAATGCCATGGTGCCAGCCATCTGTGCCTCTGGCTTCTGGGTTAATTGCTGCATTGCCCAAAATCTTCCAATCCTCTGCAGGTGATGTTCTTATCTATAGATTATTGTTTCAGGATTCTCCTGCTGACCCTCCAGATGCTAAAGAATTGCCATTTTCTTTGAAAGACAGTGCTTCCTCTTAATTTATTCTCATGATTCTTCAATTTTGGGAAGCTTTCCTGTTTATAAAAGAGAAAGGCACATGCTCCAATGGTCACCCTTGTATTTGGAGAAACAGTAAATGTGCCCTGTAGAGCTAAGAGAAAAATTCTGCATGCTTGCATATTTGGGAAGAAATCATTTAAATCGTTCATATTAAAAGTGTACTTTGTAAATATTTTCCCAGCATGCCTTCAATTAAAGAGACTCTTGCATCTGGAGTAAACAGCAGGGTTTCTGGCTATATTGAAAGCATCCAAGGGATTTAGTTTTTAGTGTACATAATAGTGTTTATAATTCGGATATTTTTATCTGAATTTCTAAAATGAAAACTCCTTTAAGAGCTTTTGTATATTCTGAAATTATGTGGTTTTGGAAATCATCTAACAATTATCAAGTCATCATAGTCATCATTTGTTGGAATGTTAGACTTTAATAGTGTTGCTTAAAACTGATACTATTTTGATGGGCATTAGGAATTGAAGTTGGGTCAGTTTGTGGGGGAGAAACAATCTGTGTGGCATTCAACTTCCTTCTTTCTGGAATTTGCACAAGATTAATAATACAGAGTAGCAGCCTATAGGAAACTCCCTCAGATGTACATGGCTCACTGTGAATGTGCAACTGTTTTTCAGAGGAGAAAAGTATATGGAGATTGTACTAAATTGAGAGATTTGATTCCTAAATTTATCAACTAAAACGGGAAAGGAAGGAAGGAAGAAGAAGAATAGATGCCTAGTTTTATGTTAAGGTTTTTCTGGTTACTTTGTAACAGTGTATTTTGTCTGAGGTTAACCAGAAATGGGACAGGATGTTTTGCCTTTTATTGGAAGGGTGCCATTACAGTGCCACAAAATCCTAGGAAGAAAAACATCCAAATGGCAGGAGAACTTAGCAGAAGAAGATTCTGGAGCCCCGTAAAGATGTCACCTCCCCATTTCAGCTCTCTAGGAAAGAGACTCTAAGTGACTCTGCCTGGGTTCAGCCTCCAGCCTGGAAACTGGTGGGCCCTGACCCAGGAGACAGGTCTTCACCTGCTCTCTGACTCAGGCTTGTATGGGCTTGGTACAGTGCTTCTCAGTGCGTTGCCACCACCATGTGCAGTAGGTGTGCTAAAGAGTGACAGGCCCCAGAGATGCCCACAGCATCTGGCGTGGACAGGTAGCCTAAAGGGAGGCCAGTGGGCAGAATCTGTGTCCCTGACTGGACTCCCTCCTCTCCCAGCTCCAGCAAAGGAGAAGTGATGTGGTAGCTGCTAAATGCAGACCCGGCTACAGTTCTTCCACTAAAGCACCTTGGAATGGGAGTGAGTGGGATGAAGATGCCTAGCCTCCCACCACTGCCGGTTAATTTTTTTTTCCTAAATGTAAGTCATTGGAAAACTTGGATATTGTGATAACTTGAAACCCAGATCTCATCTATGTAAGAAAGCAAGAAAGACTGTCCGTAGGAGAGGACAAAATTGATTAAACATGATTTTAATAAGAACTCTGGCTTTTCAGATTCAGAGAAAATGGCCCAGTATTTGGAAGAGGAACGTCACATGAGGGAAGAGAACCTGAGGCTGCAAAGAAAGCTGCAGAGAGAAATGGAGAGAAGAGAAGCCCTCTGTCGACAGCTCTCGGAGAGCGAGTCCAGCCTGGAGATGGATGATGAAAGGTGCATGCATGTCCTGAGTCATGCAAACACAGACACTCCAACAGAACCCTATAAGCCAGCGCCAAGATAACTGTCTTTGCATCCTGGTAGCTATGGAAGAAGATGGCTAAACACATACATTTACTACAGTGATGAATACCATCACGTTAAACAGACGTTCACAATAGGATAAATGCAAAAGATTGAGCATTTTTCCTAAATACAAAGAGAAGGAAAAAAAATTGTCATTCTAAATCATTTGATTGGGAGAGAAATGGAGGCAGAGTTTGCATTTATTTTATTCTGGCAGTTCTGGGGTTTGAATTCAGGACCTTAGTCTTGTTAGGTAAATGTCTGCCACTTGAACCATGCTCCCAGTCCTTTTTGCTTTAGTCAATTTTTTTTGGATAAGATCTCATATTTTTGCCCAGGACTGGCCTCAGACCATAGTCCTCCTACCTATGCCTTCTGCATAGCTGGAATTGCAGGCTTGTACTGCCATGCTCAACTTAATTATTGAAATGGGGTCATGCTAACTTTTTGCCCAGGCTGGCATTGAACCATGATCCTCCCAATCTCTGCCTCCCAAGTAGCTGGAATTATAGGCATGAGCCCCCACTCCTGATCTGAGTTTGCATTATTTCTAAATGTAATCCTATGTTAAATCTGTTTAAAGCATGAGAGCATCTTAATTCCTACACAAGTATAAGCTTGTTTCCAGAAGAAATAATCACATGCATAGACTGAAAGAACCAGCAGGAGACAGGTAGATGTTGTTGAAATCCCAAGGACTTGCTTAACAAGTCTGACAACTTTTGAGTCTGTTTGCAGCTACCTTTTAAAAATAAAACTCATTCATTGCATTCATGTGCCCAAGCCTAGACACTGAACCTCCTTACTGCCCCACTGTGAATGTACTGAAATGAGAGTGTCATTGGTTAACAAGAGCAATTTGTGTCAGTGTTTGTCCCTGTTCCATATCCCTGACCTCTTCTTCCTCCTCTGAACTTGGGAATAAGATGATTGTTAAAATAACCAATAAATCCAAATAGAAAAGAAGCTGTTCATTCAGCAGAGACACTCAGCAGTCAGGGAATGAGCCTTTCTCTGCAATAGCTCATTTGTATAAGGAAATTCCCTGTTCTAAATTAGGCATCCCCAGCCTCCCATAGTCAACATCTTAGTGTCAGAGGTGGATTTGAACCTCCATGGGGTCCCTTCAACAGTGCTGGGCAGTGTCTGAAACCAGGGTCTCTCATGTCTGAGGTGTAGACCTGCTCGTTGATGCCAAAACGTGTTGTCTGAAATCAGGCAGTATTAGCATATCGGCATGCAGTTTCCTGCAAAGCTTATGGTCAGTTTGCCTTGGACACTTTCAAAAAAAATGTGAGATTTTCTATAATGGAAGGCTACAAATGAGAAGAAAAATAAATTTATAAAAGCAGAGAAACAAGTTACCCTGTTTCAGATGCCTGTTTGCATGCTTCCCGTTTGAAGAGAATAAACGTTATTCTCAAAGACTTGTTTTATAAAACTCTCATCCTTGATTGTAAATTTCACTGATCTGTTTCTGACAGTTTCCCATTCTCTCTAAAATCCTCTGAGAACCATTTGACTAAAAATATCAGAACACTAAACAGCTTATTAACTACTTTCACAGAGCAGAACCCGTGTTAACATATATAGCATTCTGTACCCAGTTTGGATAAGAGATATTCTAAGGACAATTTCTTCTTAGTATGGTGGCATTAATTTGAAGCCACTTCAAATTTACAACTAAGTTTTTATTTTTTTTTTCCAGAACTAGTATTCATTCCAGAAGATCTTCTTTACTTTTTGTAGGTCAAATTATGCCAGATACAGTTTGGCTCCAATAAATATTTCTCTGCCTGCTAGGAATCATGGTACCACATTTGAGAGAAAGAAAATAGTCTGGCACTAAAGACCATAGAGGCGACCTTAGCCACCTACCTGGATATAGAATACAAAGAAAGGTCCCACTTGGTGTCTGGTGTCACTAAGGTAGGACTCCAAAAGGATAGTTAAGAAGAATAGAAGGTGGTTATCTAGTTGAGGTTGTGTCAAATTAAGGGTCCTGATTTTGCTCAGGTACTGTAAACTTGCCTAGAAATGGCCGGGTTTGTTACTCATGATGGCTGACTGAACGCCAGGGCCGAGATCGCCTGTAGGATAAAGGTGCACACCTGTCTGGCTACCAGGATGCTTTATCAGGAAGACTTCAAACAGAAATATTTCCTCTTTGGTGTTCTGCATTTGGTTCACAAAATGAAAACTGATGATCACACTTCAGCATTCTCAGGTCTGATGCGACTTGAGAATCCCAGCAGGATGTGCCGAAGGTGCTTGGCACTTAATGTCTTCTGCTACATTGTTTTGTGTGACCATTTGTAAACAGGTGACATTCAGTTAATGGACATGTACATCTTTAAACTTTAACTTGACATAAATATTGGTGGGCTTGTTAAAACATGTAACTCTTTGTCCTCCTTGGGACAGTGGAGGTGAATTTCTGCATGGCTGTGTTGTGCTGTTCTTTGTTATTCGGCACACCTCTATGAGCAGGCCTCCACCTGAGTTAATGTTCTCAATTCCCTATCCCAGGCTCCTAGGGAGCGAGGTTTGCCAAACTGTGGAGCAGTGTAACTCAGGGATCCAAGTTAAAAAATGTCTTCTAAACATTCAGGATTTTGACCTCAAGATGTGACCTCCAAACATTTTCTCATAAAAGCTCTCTTATTTAAATGCATATGGTCGTGATCATTTCCTCCTGTTTTCTCTTAGATATTTTAATGAGATGTCTGCACAAGGATTAAGACCTCGCACTGTGTCCAGCCCAATCCCTTACACACCTTCTCCAAGTTCAAGCAGGCCTATATCACCTGGTGAGTATATGCATTTGGCTACCTCAGTGACTGACTTCTGGTATCTTTAACTTTTTGTTTTAGTTGTTTCTGTTTGTTCAGTTTTGCTGTGCTGGGGCTCAAACCCAGAACCTCATGCATGTGTTAGGCAGGCACTCTACCAGTAAACTGTGCCCCTATCCTCATAGACAAGGCAACCTTGACTTTGGTCCCTTCTAGCATGTAAAAGTCTTATAAACAGAGATAATATGTTTTTCAAAAGCAAAACATGGTCAAGACTGAGTCATAGCTTGAAAATTTTTAGCATAAGGACTATGTATAGTACCTCCTCTTCTTTTTCCACCTCTTCCTCCTCCTCCTTTTCTTCTTCCTCCCTTCCTCTTCTTCCTCTTCCTCCTCCTCCTTCTTTTTCTTTTCTTTTTGGACTAGGGAACTCAGGGACTTGAGCTTACTAGGCAAGCATTCTGCACTTGAGCCAAGTCCCTAGTCCTTTTAGTTTGTTTTTTCACATAGGGTAAGGCTGGCCTTAAACCTTGATCCTCCTGTCTTTGTCTCCTGAACATCATGTGCCACCACACCTGGCTCATTTTTCGTAGATCAGATTATCCCAGATATAGTAGAAAGACAGAACCTTTGGGTAGATTTCCAAGGTGGCTCATCGCATATCTTTTATGGGTTCTTTTACTGTTTCTAAGAACATCTAATTTTTGTCTAATTAATGTAGGCATTTTTTCCATGTCAAAATTGAGGAAGCAGCGATTCAGAGGTTCATCAATGCCTAGTCCTAACAGCCAAGAACAGGCAAATCAGGGCATCTCTGTTTCCAAAGCTGTGTTCTTCCTAGTAGGAGCTGCCTCCAGATACTTCCAGTGGTTGCTTAGTGGGGCTTGGCCTAGTAAGTAGCCACACAAATACAGATGAACTGTTGTCTAGCAGTTTGCTGTTGACCTTGTTTTCAGAGGCCTTCTTCTCAAAGGCATGCTTGTCTACAACTAACCCTGAACATACTCCCCAGGGTCCTCAGCTTAATACCATCACTATATAGGCTCTCTGACAGTAGGACAAGTAACTGATCCAGCAGAAAGGAGAAAGGAAACAGGAAAGAGGCAGGTGGCAAGTGAAGGAGGGGAGGGAAGAGAAGGTAGCAACCAAAGGAATGCATCTTGTGGCCAGAGTGAGACTAATGCTCTGTGCTTGCTGATAGATAGGTTTTAAACAGAGTTGGGGGAAAATGGTCTATGGGTGGGGGGAGGAGAAAGGAGTGAGGAGACTGCCTTGAGGGGTGGCAGCCTGAGGTTTTGTAAAGTAAAACAGCTTCCAGTTAGGGCAACAGCATTTCTTTTTTGCTTAGGGATTTGTTTAAGGTCAATAAAGGGGACCTGGCACTGTAACGTGGTTGTCACTGATAAAGTGTTAGAGAGAAATGGCTTGTTTTTGTGAATTTGGGATCCGCCTGGCACTGTGCTCCTGTGACTTTTTTTTTTTTTTTTTTCAAAGAGTAGAAAATTCAGGCAGAAAAAGTGGCCACTTGTATGCACTTGGGGCCAGTGTTCTCTCTCTCACATCAGGCAAGGGAAAGAGAGACTGAAAGTCGATTGTAAGAACTTTGCATCATGAATCAACAGCATAGTCATTGCTCCTTGATCTTGCCAAAAAGATGTTCTGGAATCTGTTTCTCCACCTTCCAGGGCCCTTAAGTCTCTCTAAAAGCTTCTCTTAGTAGTCGCCTCTCCATTTTCCCCAGAATAGTACATGGGTTTCATTACCATGATTAAGGTAATCATGATTAAGGGGTTGTTTTTGCCTTCTGATTTGTTGATGTAAAATGAAGACAAGAGTCAGGAAGCAGCACGTTAGGGGTTATTTTGTAGTGGATGGAATGCTGATTCATATTAAGTATAATTTAATTTCCCGTTTGATTTATTTAAAGCTAAAGAAATTTTTAGAGGCATATAATTTCCAATGAATTAAAACGAATATTGCAGTTTCTGAAAAAAAAGGAAAAAAAACCCAAAAAATAGTGTCAGACCTTGGTTCAGAATATTACTTCTATTATAACAAATGGCCTGCAGAAAAATATTATTCTATTTACATAATTTTGACTTGCATTGAACCTGTCCTACATGGGAACCTTCATCTTGGCTTGCTGGGATAGATAAGCTATTTGGTTTTCTCTTAAGCTGTGTAATAAATAATACCTAAATCTTTTCTATTTTCAGCTACCCTACGAGAATGTTTTTATCTGATTTTAAATTCTGTAATACCATCAAAGTGGATTTCGTCTCCTATTTGGCAGCAGAACTACTCTATTCTAATCTGGAATATTACAGTGCTATGTATGGTAGATCAGCAAAACCTGATTTTTCTAGTTTTCTGTTCATTTTAGTTTTATTGAAACTATTTGTATTTCTCAGTGTTAAACATATCTCATCACTTCCTTAGTGGGAATATGCTGATTGTATACTTTTCATTTTCATTTTACAAATTCTGGCTTTTCTTCCTCCCTTCCCATTTATGGTTAACCTTGGAAATCTTGCATTTTAACGATTTTTTTAGTATCTTTCATCCTCTCTCACAATTTAATCAAAAGATACATCTTATAATTTATGAAAGATCCTCTTTTTTTCCCGTGCTAGGAATCAAACCCAGTGCATGTCACATGTGGCAGGCAAGGGCTTTTACCACCAAGCTATACCGACCAGCCCCAGAGGTCCTCTTTTTGATATGTACATTAATATGATGTGAATTATATATAGGAAGAACATTACTTTTCAGCAATTGCTTTTCAGGTTGTCTTTTTGTAGCCTAAGAATGGGATATTCATAATTAGCATGTTTGATATGTTTAAATCTGAGATGGACAATAATGAGGTCTGAAAGTAGATATATACCAATAATAATAATGAGTACACCCATCACCCAAATTTGCTTTCTAATTCCATTCTCCAGTGAAAAGAACTTAGTTACTTGAAAAGATAGATGTTTCTCAGTCTGGGGCATGATCTAATTAGTACAATAAAGTAAGGAAGTGCCTGGAAACAAAATGGTAGGGCTAAGTCAAATGAGCTTAAGAGTTCCCACAGGCCAGAACTAGAACAATCTAAGCAGTAAGTTACAATTGGGTGCAGAATAGTGATGTTTCTGTCAGTGATAGACCACACGAATGGTGATAATTGGCTGGTGACACTATTCCTGTCTCAGCTTGTGTAAGCAATAGTGAAATTGCCAAAGGACACATCTCAGAATGAATCCATGTCATTAAGCTAATGTCTGTGTTCTATTTAGTAAGCCAGTGTTTGCAATTTGGAAGTTTTGACCTAGGTTTTTAAAAAATTTTTTTTATCTTTCTTTATTTTTCTGGGTCAGAGGGTGAGATGCATGACTATTAGAATTTAAGGGAAAAGAAAAATTCGTAAAACACGGTCCTGGGCTTCTAAGAGTTTATAGTCGATGGCAGGGCCTAGGGAAGTAGTCTAAAGAAAAAAAAATTACATGTGATAATAACTCATTTCATCTTCCCAGTAATCTTGTGAGATAGCTGTGGTAGTCCCATTTGCTAGCTAAGGAATCTAAAGGCCAGAGATTAAGCAACTTGTCCTCTATTGCTCAATGCCAAGTGACAAAGAAGTGGGCTCCAAGACAATGTGGCAGTCTAACTCTAGAGCATGGGCTCTACCTCCCCAATAGATAAGTGGGGTGCCAATTGACATTGGGGAAGGAAGAGGCAAGGAAAGAGGAGACATCTCCAGGCACAGGGCACAGATGGGCAGACAGGCCTGAATGAAAAGTGGTAAGATCACTGTGGCTCTCAATACCTGCTCCTCTGGGACCCAGCTCCCTGGGATTCTGATTCATTTGGTCTGGGGTGAGGCAAGTAGGGCTTTAGTATTCACTGTTGAGAACCACTGACTACAGCATTCGAAGAGAGTTTGGAGCCAAATACAGAAGTGTGTTCATTATAGCAGCCAGACATAGAGTTTTTCTTTTTGAAGTTAGGTAGGCCATAGTCTTTGAAGGTCCTTGGTTGGTGGTATAAGATACACATAATTATTCTTCAGAAGAATTAACCTCGTAATACAAGAAAATAGGTTAGATTTTTTTTTTTTTTAAGGAATTAAACCTCTTAAGCTCTCTTTAGGAATAAGGATCAACAGCCCTTCCCTTAAATTCATCTGGTTGGGGTTTTTTGTCTGTTTGTTTGTTTTGTTTTTTTCAGTGCTGGGAATTGAACCTATGACCTTGTGTGTATTAGGTGAGTGCTTTACCACTGAGTCACATCCCTAACCCCATCACCTTCATAAGAAATAGAATTAGGGTTTTGTTCTTCATAGGCACTTAAAGAAAACCTCTCAGTGTAATGCTCTGTGATACCAATAAGCACCATATTTAATGGCCACTTAGTTCCAAAAGAATTGTGGTTTGCCTTAGGCCTCCATTTTATAAATGTGAATCAAAAATCCATCATTGGAGATGGAAATGTGTCAGTCAGAATGCATCACTAACTGATAGTCATATAAAGAACTAAACTGTAGCATTAGATGTTGAGGACACAGAAAAGTCCTGTGATAGGATAACTGAAGGAAGACACCTGGTGGCTGAATGTCAAGGAAGCAAATAAATAATATAGAAAAGCATTCTTTTTTTTTTTTTTTTTTTGCTGCAGTACTAGCCCTTTGAACTAAGGGCTTACACCTTGAGCCACTCCCCCAGCCCTTCTTTTGTGTGTGCAGTGGGTTTTTTCAAGATAGTCTCTTGAACTACGATCCTCCTGATCTCTGCCTCACAGCTTGTTGTTTACATATATCAGAAAAATAGAAGTAGAGCTTATATGGCTTGGCATTTAGTAGTCAATTGTAGATACAAAATGGTTGATAATAGCAGTTTCTACCCCAGTACCCCCAGTGCTCCTTTGTTTGCATTCTCACTTCATTTACCTTTATAGGACCGACACTGTGCTAGCTTTCCTGACAGATGCCCCTGAATCCACACAGTGATGAGTAAGTGATCCCCCAGATCAATAGAGCTTTCAGCACTAACTCTCCAAAGACCGAGTGGGGCTGCTTAGGCTGTACATAAGTAAAAGTCACTGAAAAATTTTCAAAATGCGGCTCTTTGGGTCCCAACCCAAACCTGTCTGACAGTAAGAAGAGTCTGGACATAGGTACTTTTGAGACAACTTGGAGCCATTCTCAAAAAAGTCAAAGGCCACATGTTTTCCCTCAGATGTGGAAGTTAGACTGATAAGTTAAATGTATATATAAATACATATATGATTCTACATACACACATGCATGTATATATTTCGTGAGAGAGAACAAGATTGTATTAGTGGGTCTGTCTTGGAACTATGGGAGGAGGCAGGAGAAGGAAAGAAAATGTTAGTGAATGAAAAATATTGAAACAACCCATATATATATGAATAACATATGAATAGTTGAATATTGGGGGAATGCAGGTGGATAGAGAAAGAATAAGTGAGGGTTGATTTGGTTAAAGAATGATAAATATAGGCTGAAGTGCCAAGGTGAAACCCCCTTGGACTATCAATATACACTTAAAAAGAAAAAAAAGACAGGAGGGTAAAATGGATCTTTTCTGGGAATGGGTGCCAGTGGGAGGAGGGTGGGTATAAAAAAAGGATGAATGAAGATGAATATGGTGGATGTATTTCGTATTCATATATGAAAACAGAAGAATTAAACCTGTTGAAATTGTTCTAAGAAAGGGGGAGCAGAGGAGGGAAAATGATGGAGGGAGTAAATCTAAGATGTATTTAAGCACATGTGTAAACATCACAGTGTATCCCGCCTCTACCAGTATTATATGCTAATAAAAGAAAAGAAAAGAAAAGAAAAAAACCAACTTGGAGATGATTCTGGGACCCTAGGTGAAGACTATGCAGAATTTTATAGTGGGCGATAGGTGGCAGGTTCCCCCCCCCTTAAATATCATTTTCTTTTAGGAAACATTGGTATATATAGGATTTTTGTTTTCCTGTATTGAATATTTTCAGATTGCATAGCTGTTGGTAGTTTTGCTTGCGATTATATCTGCTACACACAGGCAAACTGGTGCTGTGTGATTGTTGTTGGGTATCTTCTGACACTTCCCCCTTTCTTGCATCTGAGTTTTACCCCTTTTCTCTATTTTTCCTACTTAATTCTTGTTTCTTCTATATTCCTATTTCTTTTCCTATGTCTCAGTTGAATTGGAGGGGCTTGACTTCTTTTTTTTTTTTTTTAATTGTGTTAACATTTAACCTGAGATCTGCCCTTCTCTAAATTTTCAGTGTACAATACTGTGCTGTTACTTCCAGGCTTAGTGTTCTGCAACAGCTCTCCAGGACTTACTCATCTTGCTCAACTTGAACCTTATAACTATAGACCAGTAATCTTCTCATTTCTCCTCTTCCTCTCTCATCCATAGCAACTACTATTCTACTCTCTGATTCTATGAGTCTGTTTTAGATTCTAGATATAAATGGCACCATGCAGTATTTGTCCTTCTGTGACTGTCTTGTTTCACTTAGCATTAAGTCCTCCATGTTCATCTTTATTATCATGTTTAGCAGGACTTCCTCCTTCCTTTCTTCCCTCCCTCCCTCTCTCCCTCCTTCTTCCTTCCTTCATTCCTTCTTCCCTTCTCTCTCTCTTTCTCTCTCTCTCCCCGCCCCCTCTCTTCCTAGTACTGGGGATTAAATTTAGGGCTAGCATGCTACCTACTTGAACCACAGCCCCAGTGCTTTTGTTTTTTCAGGTATGATCTCCTACTTTTGCCCTGGCCAGCCTTGAACCACAGTTCTACCCTCACCTCTACTTTATAAATGTGTGGCATGACACCCAGCTTGTTTTTTTTTTCATTTTTCTTTTGTTATTCATATGTGCATACAAGGCTTGGTTCATTTCTCCCCCCTGCCCCCACCCCCTCCCTTACCACCCGCTCCGCCCCCTCCCTCTCCCCATCTCAATACCCAGCAGAAACTATTTTGCCCTTATCTCTAATTTTGTTGTAGAGAGAGTATAAGCAATAATAGGAAGGAACAAGGGGTTTTGCTGGTTGAGATAAGGATAGCTATACAGGACGTTGACTCACATTGATTTCCTGTGCATGTGTGTTACCTTCTAGGTTAATTCTTTTTGATCTAACCTTTTCTCTAGTTCCTGGTCCCCTTTTCCTATTGGCCTCAGTTGCTTTTAAGGTATCTGCTTTAGTTTCTCTGCATTAAGGGCAACAAATGCTAGCTAGTTTTTTAGGTGTCTTACCTATCCTCACCCCTCCCTTGTGTGCTCTCGCTTTTATCATGTAAGGCATAACATAAGGGTTCAGATTCCTTCTTTTGCACGAGTATCCAGTTTCCCCAACACCATTAATTGAAGAGAATGTCCTTTCCCAATTGTGTGTTTTCGGTGTCCTGGTCGGGGATCAGTCGATGGCATATGCATGGGTTTATTTCCGAGTTTTCTGTTCTGTTCCAGGGCTTGTTATCTCTTGTTATCCATTACGCCATTCAGTGAGCCCACCTCTCTTCTCATCTGTTTTTATTTCTGTGTGTGATTGAGATTTTTTGCCTCTTAAGATACTAGATCATTGGGTTTGAAATGATACTTAATTTGTTGTGTTTCAGGTCTATCATATGCAAGTCACACAGTTGGTTTCACGCCACCAACTTCATTGACTCGAGCTGGAATGTCGTATTACAATTCCCCAGGTCTTCATGTGCAGCATATGGGAACGTCCCACGGTATCACAGTAAGTGTCCGTGGGATAGAAAGCAGAGTGTTACTCCTGATGATGGTACCAGCTGTTCCTCTTCACGAGACTGGGGTGACTGATAACCTCTGGCATCAATTTCCCCTTATCAGTTCACCTTAAAACTACAGTTACTCCCCAAATAGTTTGACACAAAGTTCTGATGTTAAAACTAAACTCCTTCCCAGGAGACAAAACTTCATCTTCACTTCTGATGAAAAATTTCCCTTTGTGAAATTTAATTAGAAGTCTGGCCAATGCCTTGCTTGAACTCTGACCAGCTCCTTGCCATAAAGAATTGTTGGTGTCCAATGTCTGAAAATACTTACCATTTGTACCTTCACGGTTCATTGACCCCTGATACTCTTCCTGAAGTTAGCTTTGTTTCTAGTTTTACTTAGAATTTTCTGTCCTAGAATTAGAAGGAAGCTTAGGTTCATCTTATTCTAGAACTTCATTCAGGTGAGTTTTTTTTTTTTTCTTTAGACTTGGCTGCATAGCTGACTAAATAGAGCAGCTATTTAGCTATTAGGATGAAAGAATTGGAAAGAATTAAGGGTATTTCCAATAAGAGAATATTTCAAAGAAAAACCGTCTTTGAAATTAAACTATTTGTGAAGCTGTTTTACCAGTTGGTAGACTTTTGTGTTGAGCTGTAATCTTCAAGATGTGGAAAACTTGCATGAGATACATAATAGAAGAAATTGGGAGCACCCAGCTGGCAGTAAACATTTAAGGGGATGATCTCACAGCTGTTTTTTAATCTTATAACTTTCACTAAAGGGCCCAAGTCCAGTAGTTTTCCAATACAAGATTTAGTAATTTTGTAGGTATAAAAACTACCTAGTGTAAGTTTTTGCAACTAGTTCAGGAACTGCAAGAAATAAAGAAGGAAATCACTGCTTTCTTATTTTTGCTAGCAAGTGCTCATTAGCCTCAGCCATGAGTGGGGCTGTGTTGGAAATAAGCAGGTGACCCAAGCTGACCTACTCTTCCTTGTCGTCCCAACAGAGGCCTTCACCAAGGAGAAGCAACAGTCCTGACAAATTCAAACGGCCCACGCCACCTCCGTCTCCCAACACACAGACCCCAGTCCAGCCACCACCGCCTCCACCTCCACCACCCATGCAACCTGCAGTCTCCTCGGCAGCCACCTCGCAGCCCACCCCTTCGCAACATTCGGTGCACCCCTCCTCCCAGCCTTAATGCATGTGCTTAGTCTGAATTTCAAGTTGGGACTCATCCAATGGAGCCGTCTACTCAACGCCAAAGGCTTCCTTCCCTGGCATATTTGGATCTGACTTATTTGCACTGAGGTTATCTAGGCTTCACTATTCATTGTGTTGTAAATGTTTGTTGGAAACGCAGCCAGTGTTGTGGGTCAGCAACACTAACCAGACGACTTATCCCATCAGTGTTTTACTTGAATCTACATGTATGTCCATTCCCTGGCTGGAACATTTGCTATTTGGTATTTGGTAGTACAGCAGCAGTGTGCAATTTTTGCTTGGCCCCAGAGCTTCATTTTCTTGGTTTTTAGGTTTGTAAAATAAAAAGGGATATCTTTTTTATATTTTTTTCCATGAATTTGCAGAAAATTATTGAGCTGTTTTATCCCCCTTCTCCAATTACAGTGGTGTTTACCAAACATACCAAGATTTCAGCACTACAATTCAGACCTTTGAAAATCTAACTTTCAGTGTAGAATGGGAAGTTGGATGAATCAGTGTCCAAAATATATATACCATTTAATAGAGCTTTCTACAGATACACTTTTTACAGGTTATTTTTAGTGTAAATTGACATCCATGTCTCTGGTAAAACAGGTAGCCTAAAGTAATGAATCACATGGCTGTCTCTTCTCCACATACATGGGATGGATAACTACTGCGTATTAAGATGTGATTCTTCCTTTTATCCTAATGTTAGTCCATCTAAACTGGCTCCTCTAACATAAGTTGGTAAATGTTCCACTACCAGTGGTTTCGATGGCTGATTTAGAATGTGCTCTTCGATTTCTGCAGAGGGCAGCGTGATTTTAACAGAACCAGTGTGATTTCTCCTTCCAGTCTTTATTCATGTTCTCCTGAAATAGAGTTCGAACAAACATTTTAAAGGTGCAAAATGCTATTAGATGATACAATTTGAAGTAGACATTATACTTTGGCATAATGGCCACAGAATACTGTATTGCTTGGCAGAAAAGAAGTGTAGAGGAAAGTAGTACATTAGTATTGATGACTGCTTATTTTGCCCAGTATAAGGAAGTGCAGTGTACAAAGAAGTATATTCTGAATACATTATTTCCATTCATTTAGCACAAGTAAATCCTTTGGTTTCACTCTGGAGTGGAACACTGTGAGTCACTCTTTTCTTAATACTTGCAACATCTTTTTGTTTTTCAGTAGTTACTGTTTTGTACTTTGGTAGTAAAGTGATTTTTACCACCTGTGTTTGCATATTTATATATGCTGTGGATGAAAATAACTTACTAGAGAATGTATATTTTATGATGAGAACATGTATCTGTTGGATATAATCAGAGAACTGAAAATTAATTTATCAGTAATTTTTAAGAGTTCATGTTTTTGTGACAACCATCTCTAATAGCTAACTCCTTATTGAACACACTCCTAAAAATAAGGAACCATGACATTGTAGATATTTAATATTGTATAGTATAGAAACCTCCATTTTTGCCTTCGAATGCATATTTAAGAGTTAACAGAATGAAAAAAAAAGTGTTATTGGATAATAGTGTTTGACTAGCATTTTAAAAACTTGAGAGTAAAAGCAACAATAGGATTTTTTCACCTCTTCTTCCTCCATCCCCAAACTGAGAACATCATCCTCAATTACTAGAAAGAAATTATCAATCTATAAACATTTTATTTATAATGTGTATGTAATATACATAATCATAGTGCAGTTCTCACACATGAGGAAGAAGTTTGGCATTTATTATTGGGCTTTAGGTTTTCAATATCACACTGGGCCATGTCAAACCTGGGGATTTCTCCAACTGCTCACTGACCTCCTGGTACATTATCGTTCCGAGGAATTCTGAGACTAGGCAAACAAGTTTTGCCTTCACGGTACAGTTCTTGGTTTTTCTTATAAGAGAAATATGGTATATGTTTACAAGAATCTTTTATGAGATTGTAGATTTCAGTGCTGTTGGACTGTGTCTTGTACTCACACAAGAAAGTCCACAATGTAATGATCTTCCCTCAGTTTTCTGTCAATTTTGTTACCTCCTGAAAGCACAAGAGTTAAAACATTGCCATATGGTGAATGAAGAAGCACTTGGAGTGAGCAGACAGTTCCTGATAAATGCCTTTTAGAGATAGGTTCTTGACATTCAGACTTCTGCAGAAATGCACTGCTGGTTCCCCTAGACTCATCATTTCACTTCAAGATAAAACACAGCTCCTTGCACAGCACTTTTTCAACATAAATCTAGTTGCCTCTCCCTGCAGATGTTTAGAACTGATAGAACAAACACTACTATTTTGAATTTTTTGATGTTTCATGTCATTTTAAAGGGTTTCATGACCCCAGGTAGAGCCTGCAATGCTTGGGCAGTACCTCGTAGGACAATTTCTTGGCAATTTCTTAGCCACCAAGGACTGGTTAGAGCCCACAGAGGTAGGACCCCCCTCGCTCATGGGAAACTGACTTACCTAGGTTGGACTCTTCTCATGGGGGCTGAATTTGGTACCTGACATTCTGTTTCCTACTCCCCCAGGCTAACCCTGGATTGATCCCTGAAGGTCTTTGTAAAATGAGTAGCCATCCTGCAGGCAGGTGAGAGCAACAGTAGCTCAGTAGCTTCATTTCCTGTCTTGCTGACAGAGACCCTTGGCTACCACTGTGCTGCTAATAGGATAAAAGTACTCTGTTGCCAGATTACCATGCCTTTAAACAAAACCAAATTTCCTTCCTAATACCTGATGCCTCTGGGCTCTGAACTGCTTTCTCTCATCAAGCATGCTGGCATTCTAGAGGGAATTCTAGAAATTCGGCAGGTGATGGAAATTAAACTTACTCCTTTGTTGATTGGAAGGAGTTTTAAATTTTGAGCTCCTGAGATACTGGCTAGCAACCATGGAATGAAGGTGTGACCAGAATGTGGCTTTGACACCAAGTGCTGCTGTGCCTTTGTAATTGGCTTCTGACTGATTTGACCAGAAATAATTGATAATGTGAATTTTTGTTGATTGTTCAATTATAGGAAAATAGCATATGTATCTATCTCCCTTTGTTAGGTAGACATGAACTGTCCCTGCACGAAGCCTTGCTGTTAGAGGGTACCCAATAAGGCAAGAAAAAGCATAGTAACTCGTGCTATGAGAGCTTAACATTTTTATCAGTACAGAAGAAATCTCTGTAACTTGATCTTCTGTCTAGTTCTTGTCTTATATAGATAACCAACACTGAAAACTTTGTAGTGACGACTACCAAAGAAATACATAGTAAAACAAACTTTTATATCCAAATTATTGAAGAGCCAGCCATTGATGCTGCTACAAGAGTTCCATGCTCAAGGGCCTTTTAGGAGAGATTAAGGGGTTTTTAGGTTTATGATTTTTAATTTTTTTTCTTTTGTTTTTTCCTTGATAAAACATGCTAGCATAAAGTTTTGGGGAGCATTTTCCAGAATGCTCAGCAGTTGTGATTAACTGCCATGCCCAGGTTGCCTCTTGTTAGGCGTTTGAAGGAATCCTACGTTCGTGATAAGCATGGGTGCTGTGTGTGTGTGTGTGTGCCTGTGCACGTGTGCGTGTATGCATTCATGCCTTAACTCGGTTACTGCTCAACTTTAGTGTTTGACTTAGTCTGCACTGTCATCTAGATTGTATTGTACATCTTGATCTGAACTTCCTCCTAACAAAAACAAACTTGCAGGCACAACAGGTTAAGAATACATTCCTCTGGAAGAGTGTCTGATCGTATGGACCTTGAGTCTTCTTTGGACTTTATTTGGAACTTAGCCTGAAAAGCAAAAGTGGACTGTCAAACAGAATGTTAACAAGGAAAAGAGGAGAACCAAATGCTAGCATGCCTTTTGCCTCTGCATATCTGTGCACACTGTATGTTGTTCATGATAGCTTGTCTACAGCTTGACTAGGTTGGAGTTCTGGTAATAGTGGCAATCTTGACATTCTTGGTCGGAGTTTAGAGAAATGTAAGACTTCCAATTAATGTCTTATTTACTTTATGTTGATTAGTCTTTGATACATGTGCTGAATCAGAAACCTAAATAAAGATAATTTTTTAAAATGTACCGCTTGAACCATAAACCTTATCTCTTTCTTTGAGTTGGAAAACATTGTTTCCCTGTTGCTCTTAACAGACATTCAACTTAGCTTCTAAACTTTAAAGACTGCCCCAAAAAGTAAACTCGGGAAGACAGTGTAAAAGAGGCTGGAGTATTTTTCTTTCTTAATCAAAGTGTTGGCTACCTGGATATATTGAGCTTTTGAAAATAATCCATTGAGGTGTACACTTACAATTTGGGCACTGTTCTGGTTCTGTGCTGTATTTCAATTTAAAACAGTAAACCTAGGAGATTATGAAATGGAAAGGAAAGCTACATTCCCAAAATGTTATATATATAAGCACATATCATACACAGACATGTGCCACATATATTTCAGTTGACAATGGGCTGCATGGATGATGGTGGTCCCGTAAGATTCCAATGGAGCTGAAAAATTCCTATCACCTAGTGACATCATAGCTGTCAACATAGTGTATTGCATTTCTTGTGTGGTACTGGTGTAAATAACCTTGTGCTGCCAATCATGTACAAATATAACATAATAAATGACTGGTACTAGTTTATATATTTTTATCATTTTTGAGTGCACTTCTACTTATAGAAAAGTTTACTATAAAACAGTGTGCCAAGTTACACCAGCAGCAACTGAACACATCTTGTATTTACTGAGTCTCTGGATTACGTCAAGTGATCACATCGAGTGCCTGACCCAGTTCTGTGTAAGCATACTCTATGATGTTAACACAACAAAACTTCTTAATGAACTTCTCAGGATATCATTTCACTGTCTAACTGATACATGACCATATATATATGTTCAGGCTTTGAACATAACAATTAGTGTATTAGCTTATTCTTAAACGTTTAAATCCAACAATATGGTTTTCTCTTCCTACTTTGTAGGAAACATGCTTTAGGATCCCTTCTGGTCTGAGTACCAGTTCTTTTCACTGGGCCACTTACTTAAAAGTCTGGGTTCAAGATCACTGCCTGTAGAATAACATTTGTCTGCTTTGACAAAATAAGAAAATGGCATCAAAGTACACTGTAGTCCTAAAAGCAATAGGACATGGACTCCACATGCATTCATTTAGGAAGAAAAAATATTTGGGGTGATGTTTTATATTTTGGAAGAGCATAGGTTTGACAGTTGTGTTTTACCTCAATTTCGGGGGGAAAGGCACAATATTCAGCAAGATTCTCTCAGAAATATAGTCTTCAGGAACCCATTTGTGATATGAGTACAAAGCATGTAATGCTAAGTCCTTTATAAAAGTAAATATATCTTGAGTGATATGATTCACTCTAGCTTAAGGAGGATTACATTTTATAGATTTAGTTAATACAATGAAGTTTAAATTTTGTGAATTGAAATAACCAAATGTCAAATGGCCCATAACAACTAGCCATTAATGGTAACTTGGCAAAAATAGTGACCAGGAAACTGCTTAGGACCTTTGAATTCAAGTCTTGATTTCACCACCAAATCGAGTTTTCCGTATGATGGAGATAGCCGTCCTCATATTGAAGTAGTTTGAACAAAACAAGATATAAAGTGTACTAACAACAAATAAGTAAATTTAAAGCTGTAAGTGCATTTTTTTTCTCTTAATATCTTAAAAGCTATGTGTCCCCATGGTGTTTCCAAAGTTGTAATGGTTGGTTTAGATCATTTTTTTGTTTGTAACTAAACTTGCTTTAATGTACAGGCTATTCAGTTTTTTTTTAACTTGTGGAAATGAATTGTATTCAGTCACTAATGTCGAATCTGGGTTCAAACTTTTTAACATTCTCTTTAGGAATTGTGGAAAAGGTTAGTTCAAGGTAAATTATGATTTCTGCCTGATTTGTCTATTGACATGGAAGGAAGATTGTATGCCTGTCCCTTGGAGTTTTCTGTCTTATCACTCATAATTTTATATTGCATTGAGTGCTGTTGAAGTAAATATATTTAAATCTTTTTTCCAAAAATCTTACTTTCTAAAATCCTATCACAGATTGAGTATTCATTATCCAAAGTGCCTGGAACCAAAAGTATTTCAGATTTCTGATTTGTTCAGATTTTGGAATATTTGCATATGCATCATGAGATACCTTGGAATAGTATCCAAGTCTAAACACAAAATTCACTTATGTTTCAATATACCTTATACACATAACCTGAAGGTAATTTTCTATGATATTTTAATTTTGTGCATGAAACAATGGAATTTTCCACTTGTGAAATTATATTGTTCAGAATGCTTTGGAATTTTGAGCATTTCAGATTTTCATATCAGTGGGGCTCAATCTGTAATAATTTAATCCAATTTTCATTAACTAATTGCCCAAACAGAGATTTTAGTGATTAATCGTAAATTTTTTCACCTTGAAACAAAAAGGGAAACCCAGAATCAGAAGTGAAACAGATGATATAATAGGTAGATAAGTATGTTACAACAGGTATTATAAACATCCTCTATGAGTTCAACCAGGGAGAATTGAAGTATGAGATGAGAAAAAAACAATATACAAGAGACCCAATTTGAACATTAGAGACAAAAAATACAATATCCAAAATTTTAAATAACTTGTTTTATGTCCTTTGTGGATTTAGGTTTCTGCTCCTTAAATGTACTGGAGAGACATTAAAAGGCAACTGCTAAGTTTAAGTTAAGCCTAGCTGACCGACTCTTCCTCCCCACCAAATGGCTCTGCCTATGCTCTGGTAGACCACTGTTGAGAAACTAGTAACCTCAGGGACCTATTGTGGCAATCTTAATGTTGACTATGAGGCTTGTCATTTTACTCAATCCCATTTCCTCACCTGTAAAACAGGAATGAGCTCTTTAGGATCAAATGAACATATTAGTGTTAAAACTTAAAAGAGAGTAAAGTTCTTTGTATTACACCTTCACTATTTCCATTGTCATTTCAGTCATTCTACAAACACTTCAAAAACACCAGTTATATCAGCCATTGTGCCCAGAACTGGGAATGCAGTAAGGAGGGAGAAAACTGCAGTTCCTTCTCTTTTGGAGCTTACAGTTTAAGAATTGCTGCAAGTGTTGTGATTGGGGAATTACACAGGGGGACCCTACAGCAGTGGAACAAAGAAAGGGTCAGAACTTCCAAAGGAATTGATCTTAAGGCAAATTCTTGAAGAACAGTTGGATTTAGATGAAGAATTTTTAGGACCCAAGGAACATGGGTAAAAACTGGAATATATAAGGGCCTCCATCAAACTTAATGTTTGGGTTCCATGAAAACAAATTCTGAGACAAGGACTTGGGTGCAGGAAGTTGATTTGAAAGGTGAATCTGGGAAGAAGAATCAGTGGAGGGAGTGAACTAGTGAAAGAGCTGGTTGGTTACAATGTGGCAACTTGAGCTCAACTCACTAGATATTCCCAAGGAAGAACCCAGAACCTGCTTTAGAATTGTCCTATCAGAGGACAGGGTTGCTGTCCCTTAGATTCCCCTAATAACCCTTGGGAAAATGACCCTCCACATTAAGTTTTCCAGGTTGTATTTAAGAGGCTTTTGTAAAAGCCTAAGGCAACTAAACCACGAGTGGCTGCCCCATTCCTCATTGTGGGGGTGCAGGGAGGTGCCAACAAGGTGCACGATGATCTGTGTGAAATCAACTGGGTCTTGAGATATAATGCATTATACTAGGTCTGCTATAGGTGGTCTGCTGTTAAATATCTCACCATCATTTGGTTTAGCTTGAAGTGTTTATGAAAATTTGAAACAATTTTTAACTTAAAATGCAGGAGATTTTTACATTTAAAAATCTAGATGTATTTGGAGGACATCATGTTAAGTAAAGTAAATCAAGCTCAGAAAGACAAAAGGCTGCATGTTTCCTCTCATATGTGGAAGATAGATCCAAAAGATAAACATATACACAAAAACAAATATGATCATATGCAAGTTCATATGTAGAGCATGTCTATACAGTGGAACTATTCTATGGAACTTGGGGGGAAAGAGGAAAAGGAAAAGAGAATGATAGAGCATCAGTAATATCCTGAAACATAGTATCTGTGAAGGTAGAGGATGTAAGGATGTGTACTGAAAGCTACTGAAAACTGGGGGGTGGGAGGTAGAGGGGTAAGGGAGAGTAACGGAAGGGATTGAACGGACCAAAGTAAAGTATACTCACAGAGGGGATACACTGAGAAACCTTTTTGAACATCAACTTAATATTAATAATGAAAGACAGGACTGTAAAATACATAGTGTGTGTGGATGGGGTACTAATGGGAGCGGGGGAGGGTGAATGAAGGAGATTAAGGTGAGGGTAAATGGTTGATGGACTTCATATACCAAATAGAAAAAGAAACCTTTCAATTGCTTTAAGTGTGGTGGGGAGGAGGCTGAGGGGGAGAAATGATGGGAGTGAGATAACCAATGTACGATATAAGTCTAATTGGAATTGTCACTATGAATTCCCCCATGTATAACGAATATATCCTAATAAAAAATATAATAAAAATCTAGATTTCTAATTTTTCTGGAAACTAATAAGATAGCAACAAGGCCTCTGTTGCACAGTCGGCTGGAGCTGATCCAGGGAGGAAAGGGCACCTGCTCTTGAGTTTGTGATCCTCTTGCACAAGCTATATGAAGAATGAGGGAAGTTTGACATGGCTAGTGCTTGTGTGTACATGTGGGAAGGGGAGGTGAAAATTGAAGCCCAGTTTGGAGTGAAGCCTGTGTCAGAAGTTCCTAGCACGAGTCCAGCTAATGATAAGAAAGTGGGATGCAGACACACAAGGGACCTTGGTAAATCAATCTTTCAAGATGGGTCAAAATATTATAGGACTAAAGTGTTCCTGGGTTCTTTTAGCCATCTAAGTTGCTCTGTACCTACCCAAACTGAGTATATAGGATGGTTTCAGCAGGCCAAGTTGAGGATGTGCTCATAGGTCTAGAGTTATGGAGACGATTCAGTTAACAGTGTGTTCACATGTGTTTAACAGTCCTTTCTGGGAGAAGAGCCTGATTTGTATTGCTTGCCAATTTTTATG